AAAGGCAATTTTCTAGTATCACCACTTTCATCAATCATGTAGCACAAGACTTTCAAAGCATAATTGAAATTTCTTTGATTTTTCTGAAAGCAAGGGACCTGCTTTGTAGAATACACTACTACTTGCACAGCCCTCAAACACACCTGCAGACAGTTGTCAAATTGTTCAGATTAGTTTTAATACTGGGAATAAAAACTCCTGGGAATAAATGCATGTTTGAACAAAATCTAGGAAAAAAAAACCAAACCACCACAAACAAATGAGAAGGGGCTTGTTCTTTTATAAGGCAAGGTCCCCTGTGAAACCTGCTCTTGGATAAAGAGCTTTTCCTTCAATAATTTGCCATCCTCCAAAAAAAGAGCAGCTGAGTCATGGAAGACTTTGTGGTCTAACGCCACAGGAAAAACAAGGTTTGCAGGTGAGCTATTACATGTGACACCAGTAATAACGTGGGTGGAGCAGTGCAAGAGAATCTTTTTTTTCTTTCTTTTAAAGTTCTCTTTTGGAGTTGAAACAGAAGACTGACTTCAAAGGAAGGTGCAAAATAACATTCAAATAAACCCTCACTATTGTTATGTGTATTGTAATACACACACCTCTGTGTTTGTCAGTGCTTACATCGCTGTACACAGTTGCCAGCCCCAAACACTTCATATCCAGTCAACTTAGGGATGAGGTCGTGCCCCAACAAGAGGGGTTTTCTCTCTCTAACCTCTGAATGGGCAGACCTTCCTGCAATTCATCCTGTGTACCCACACAGCTGTCTTTGACCGGAGGGAATTTCCCTGGGCTTGTGCAGGGTCCACTTGGAACCCTCCATGCAGCTATTTGCTTGGAAGCCTCAGCAATTAGCACCACTCTGGAATTTCTGTTTACACAACTGTAATACCTGCGTTTCCTCCAGGAGATAAGGCAACACAGAAATTACCTGGACAAAATACAGAGAAGGTGAAAGTTGAAGTAAATCAGGCAGCTACACTGAAAACCTCCTAAAGCTTGTCAAAGTAATTTTATATTGGATTACTTTGATGCACTCTGTTGTGCCTATAAAGTTACCAGCCAGCTTGTTTTAGTCCCAGATAAAATCTTGTTTGATTTTCTGCCAGAATAAGTGTTCTTTCAACATAGTTTCAGCTGCTGGTAGAAGGTATTTTTCTTCTCCAGTTTCATAACCAAACAGACTTGTCTCCATAGTAAACATGTTGTTTTATAGACGTGCAGCACATGCATAGAGCCCACGTGTTTAACAAAGTCAAACAAATATTACAAACATGTTATATTTTCATAAAAACACTTCTGTTTACTAATGACTACTAATAATTATCCTTGGTCAGATTTGAGCTTTTTTTCCCCTTCTCTCATTGCACATATGCTTTGATAAGATTTATAATTAAAACAAAACAAAAAGACATCAAAAATAGCAACAGATTACATTCCTGGATCAATGTGATGATAAATAAAATAAGATTAAAGCACACCACTGCAGAAGCACGTTGATGGTAAACTTCACACAGATGGTTTATATATATGTATATATAAACACACTGTTTATGTTTCACTCTGTCTTTAAAATAATCTCCTTGGAAAGTATATACTGTAATAATCATGATTTGTTTGTTTGTTTGTTGTTTAGTCTGGGAAGCTTCTTCAAATCTAGGGAGTAACACAATTTTCATTTCTTCTTCAAATACCTACTGCCACAATAACAGTTCTTTCAAATTAAAACGAGGATATGACCTTTTCCCAAAAGCAAATGGGAGTATAAAGCATTTAAACAAGAAGTCAGAGAATGAGCAAAGAAGTCAAAGGCCAAAAACATACCTAATTTACAACAATATATGCCAGGATCAAATCTTTTGCCTTATGATGTATCTGATATATCATTATTATTTTTTCTTCTACTGGAAAACAAGCAAACATTTTGCCACAAATTTACAATAGTCCAAACAGGAAAAACTTGGTTTCTACTAGAAAAATATGTAATCCTGATGGAAACATACAGTCAAGCACACACTGAAAACAGAGATTCTGTGTTAGAACCACTTCTAAAAAGAGGGACACATTTTATGAGAAATGAGGGTTTCTGCAAGCGCAAAACTGATTTACATCAAAGGTTTGGCTTCGTGGTGAACTCTGCCCAGGAGTGAGAACATGGACTTTTCCATATCGCTTTCCAGAAACCAAAATATAGAACCTCACTTTGTTAAAATCCTCCTGGTAGCATCAACAAAAAGGTAATTTCTTCTTGTTCCTAAAATGCAGGAGAACCAACCCAATTGCTTCTAGAATTACAACACACAGCAGACGCTACTTTTCTCTGTGCGGAATGGAAGCATGAGGAATCACAAGTTTGAGTAACAGGAGACAAAACTCGTAATCCTCTCTCACATGTTACTTTTGGCTACGCTAACTGCCTATATCAAGCACTTGAGTTCATGTCTCTCACAATGTAGGAATTAGTAACTACAAGAAAGATCTGAATTTCAATGCTGAGACATGCTGTGTTTCTTTTGCAAGGGACCACAGGATCACAGAGTTCACAGTGTCTTACCTCTTCAAGCCCAGTACCAATCTGAGACACAGGTGCTGTTTTACAAATTCCCCTAAGAGGCATTTAAGCTATTTAAAAAATTGTGACTGCACATCTGATCTACATTTTGTAACTTCACAAACCTTTCACTTCTACTGAGGCAAATTCTACAAATGACATTATTTTGGGATCATACTAAATCAGCATCCCAGTTTTCCAAACAATTCTTCCGCCGGATCGGACGTTATCTCTATATATAACATAAGTGCCTATGAATAAAACAAAAACTATAAACTACACCCTTATGAGGTAAAGACATCTTTCTCCTCCTCTTTTCCTTGCATAAAATGCCATCCAGTATGCTTAGATATATAGTTTATTTTAGTCTTCAACAACAACAAAATTAATTTGTTTCAGTAGCAACTACTGAGACAGTAAAGTTAAATTTTTTTTTTCCTCTCCTTCTCCAATCATTCCCTTTCTTGTCCTCCAGAACACACTACTATACACTGAACAAGTCAAGGAAAGTATTCCTAAGTAAATCCACAAGAAATGCTCTGACATTTATCTGAGACAAATAATTTGAAGGTACAGGAAAAACAAAGAACTAAGTTTGTGATCATTGGTTATTTTTGCATTTAGAAGCATGTGCACACTAGGATTTGAACTCTTTTTCTTTCAAAGGAAGCAAGAAACAATATATTTCAGCACAGAATTCATAGTTCTTCACGAAAGAGTTTCTTATATAAGAGTAAAGAGACAGCAGACACAGTTGAACTGCTAACATTCATAAGCTGAATATTGACAGAAATTTTACAAAATAAATATCATGAAAAATATTTAATTTGACTGTGCAAGTGCTTCAAGTGAGAGAAAACCAAAAATCAACATACATAGTACATACAAGAACTGAACTGGGAATTTCAGGCTAGGAAAACTGAGACAAATTACCAGTGAATGCACAGGAGTTCCATGAAGATTGAGAAAACTTACTTCACAATATTTTCCTATGTTCAAGTGAGTAGCAAAGAATTCTTTACTCAGTAACACATATAAACTGTTTCTATAATAGCCACAGATTTAGTTTTCAACTTCATAAAATGAATTTAATTCACTTTAAGGTTTATTTACTTTGAGAACCAAGAAGTGTTTCCTTTCTTTTTCAAAAACAGAGCTAGTCAGCAAAATTACACCACGAATTACCGTGAGACTTAACATCTCTTAAGAAAGAAGAGCAGCCTGGGCAAGTGGTTGGTGACCCTGCACAAAGTGATGGGGTTGAAACTAAATGATCTTTGAGGTCCTTTTCAATCTAGGCCATTCTATGATTCTATGAAAAAGGTTAAAGAATCTTCAAGGATTCCAGTAACATATTTCAACAGGATAGTACTATGCCAGTAAGAAAACAAAAATATTTTTGAGCAGTAATGATTCTCACAGCAGCCTTCTTCCGTAGCTATAAGAGACACAAAGAATTTCCTCTCTGTAATTGTTCAAACTGTTAGTTTTCTGTCCCTGCAAATCTATCACCCTTCCTTCTAGCAACTGTCAAAATTGTTTTTCTTGCACCAGAAGTTAAGAGATTAGGATACGCAAAGGAAAGATTTTCTGTGCTACTCCACAGCAGGTAATTAACATACCTTTGTGTCATAAATCCCTTCTGAAAATAAAATAGCCACATGTTGCACACTGGGGTGTGGCAGGGCTATAATCATTTCTGCCAAGTATGCAAGACTTTCTGCAAGTCTGTAGACAAGCACAAAACATTACTTCACTATTTAAACACACAGCATGCCAACATTGCCAGTTACTGGTTTAGTTTCCGTGTTTGATAAACTCTGTTTTTTGCATAGGTAAAAAGATCCTATAGCCAGTGGCACCTCCCAGAACGAGACCATCGTAGCAGTATCTACCAAAGTAAATAAACCAAGTAGGAATATTGTTGCTCTCCTCTATTTTCCAGCCTCCCGTTTGTAGAGGCAAAAAATGCACATGGATGTTTATGTGATAAAGAGCAGCCACATCTTGCAAAGATCCAAACCCTGAGCCTGTTGCATATTTCAGTTTTCATGACTCCACTCTGACATTCCAAAGGAATACAAGTCCTTCCTGAACAATATGCACCTCACAATACTTAGTACATGCTCACAATAGAAACTGTGAGATATGAGGGTTGGAAGAATTTCTACATCCTTCAATTCTTCTAAACACAGTTGAGCACAATCATCTCAAAAGGAGATGGAAGTGCTGCCTCTATGCAAGTAAAAATTATTTCAAGTAAAAGTTATCTCCCCCTGTATGAATCCACATAAATGGGATTCAATAAAAGGTGACTGTTCATAGCAAGAAGCTTCTTATGTCCCGTCTGTCACCACATCCCCTCTAGGTTGGAAAAGGCTCCATGTCAATTTAACTACTGTTTTCCTACAGAAAGGGAACAGAATCCACAACATAAGGAAGGCTGACTTACAATGAGTGGGCAGTCCCTCAGAGCTGACTGTGTAGAATAAAAATCTCTTCTTTTAGAGTGGTAGAAGTCCAAGCAATTCCATTAGGCAACACCTGAGAAGCTCATGTGAGTCTGCTGCTGGATCTGAAAATAAACATACCAGATTTAAAATAAACTTCCTGCTACTTTGTCCTCCCATACCTGAAAAGTATGAGGGAGCTAGGGAGTATGAATATCTGGAAACCTTTTTACTCTTCTGTTTCCCCCTATTGTTGTTAATTAAAATCTTTCCCTAAAACACAACACCTACAACCACATCTTCCTCTCCTGACAGGTATACACTAGAAGTTCAAGTTACCAAAATTCTCCTACAACTAAGCAACTAAGTCTACTAATACACTACCTGACTAATATATTTGCAACAGAAATCTTTCTTGTCCAAAGGGCCCAGAATTCTGCACATCAGATGCAACTCTGCTTAGGGCCTGGTAAACTTGCTTTCATACATCTTGTCAGCACAAAGAAGAAGAAGAATCCCATATGGGAGGAGATGCTGGGGGTTACTACCATCTTTGACAAAACCTCACCATTATTCAGCCATTGCTTTCTAGCAACCAACACACAGTTTTGTATTTAGATGCACTTTTTCTGAAGACGTTCCAATTTTGCAGTTTTCACTGTAACAATTCTCTGTACAAAATCAACACTGCCAATCAGAAAAGGCTTATGACAAATGCTATATATGTGCTCAATTTGAGCTAAAAAGATCAATATTTTAACCCATTTCCACAACCAGAGACTGTACAGGTCTTCATTCTGAGTATTTCAATTCCTGTTGAACGAAGTCAGCTCCCTAACAGGCTGATGATAATCTCCCCAGAACTTTATCATCAGCAGAAGGCAAACTCGTGTCTGGGCACCACATAGCATTTACTGTTTACAAAAGCTAGTGTATCCTTAAGTTTCCTACAGCGCTTTGATGCTTTCCTGACCTTTCTTCAAGATCAACAGGAAAGAACAGAATTCCTCAAATTATATGCGCCCTTGATTCAAAACTGTTATCCACTATGTATGTTTGTTTTATATATACATATAGCTATAAAGCTATATACATATATATATATATATATAAAACTTTTAAACTTATAGTTTAACATATCATGCTATTTCTACATGCTGTGAATAGACTTCTTTTCAGAAGCAGAACTAAATTATTTTGCATTTGCTGAGTTAGTGGCATTACTGCCTTCACTTAGTGTTATTCTTAAAATATTGGCCTGTTTTCCAAAGAATAAGAGAATAAATCCTTTTTCCTGTTTTTAGCTCATTGAGCTTTGAGTAAAGCCGTTTGCCATCTTTTACCAATTGTCTATATTTAATAACTCCTAATTTCATGTTTACACTGAATTCCTCACTTCTTCTGTTTGTTACACTCCTAGAAATGCCACCACCACCCCCAGCTGGTTTGAAATCTAAACATCTGCTATCTAATTTTAGGATTTGATCTTTTAATGTATGAGCTCGTGTATCAAAATATTAAGGCTGGAAAAACTGTGTTAACCATGATATTTCATATTAATTCAAAGTTATTTCATTTGTGCTGCCTTTTAAGATTGGTGACTTAAAATAGCTGTTAATGCAATAGTCCATTGACATTTTTAGCTTGTAGGAGCCTGCAGTGGGCAGAGGCAGCTGAAATAATAACATATTTGAGCGATGAACCAGCTTTACGATTTTATTAGTCAGACTTTCCCAAAACTATGGCTGGCATCTTTTCCAGTATCTCAAAAATTAAGCCACTTCACATTAAAAACTTCCAACCAGTCCCTCATTATAAACTTCTTACGTTCAAGGCAATAAAACAACTTCCATGATAAGCCCCTACAAATAAACACAAATACCTGGCTTTGAAAAACAGGGCCTTTAACTTATTGAGTTGATGATATGAACAAAGTAAGAAAAATAGAAGGAATAATCTGATATAGATTAGTCTGAGAAAATGATGTTACTCATCAGGAATATATTACACATCACACTGAAATAGCAGGACCCTCAAGTGGACCAACAAGGTCAGAATTACGCAGCAATCCCAAAGGGTCACAGGAAAAGAAAGCCAAGAGTTACACAGAACATTACCTACAGCTCTCCACTTTCTTTTATAGCCCCTTGTGCAAGAGTTTTGGCCTTGCCTTTACAACTGCAGAATTTGTGATCTACCTGCCACATAGGACAAGCCCAGCATAGGGGCATTCACCTTGAACAGTGTTCCCACAGGTACCTGAGAAGTCCATCAGGGAAAGAGGCATTTCAGAATGTCTGCAAATAAAATGCACTTCTTTGGGGGGGCAAGGAGGAGAACGTAGCATAGCATAAAACATCACCTCCTCTACTCCTAGGAGATATAGCTCCAGTCATTTCATAATTCATCTAGTGAACAGGCCAACAGGTAATAAGTTATTCTCATTAAAAAAAAAAAATTGTTGCTGAGTATTTTGCAATATAGGTGCACACTTCCTAAAATCATCTGGGAAATCCAGACAAGATAACCTGCAACACTTCACAGCCTGTTGGTCCATCTATGGTTTAAATTTTTTTGTAATTTTAAAAGAAAAAAAACAATCCCCACTTGCAGAGACCCAACCTAAAACTTCTCACTATCACTTTCACAGACATTAGAACAAGTAGAATGTGATACATTGGAACAGAATGACAAAAGGAAGACCAAACATAACTCTCAGAGGGGAGCTACAGCTCATGTGAGCATCATAGAAAGATGTTCATTTAATGCAGAACAAAGGAAATCAACTATCTGGCACCTAAGGAAATAAAAAAAAAATAAATAAATATGTAGTAGTTGATTTTTTCACAGCACCACAATTCATTCAGCTGTTTTATGTAGCTTACCTAGTATTGGTACAGTGTATCTCTAAGTATTTCTGGAAAAGCCTGTTTTCCTTTCTTGAAAACAAATGAACACCAAACCTGGCAATTAGATATCAATTGGTAGAAACGTGCAGCAGGCAGAACCAGGCCCTTCAGGAGTGATTGGCCAATTCTCTCACCTTCTCAATGTTTGCCATTTGTTCCTGCTGCAATTGCTGGTCAAGCCAGTAGCAACATGACTGGAATGAGATTGGGAAATAAATCCAAGTAACTCAAGTAATTGAGTTAATAATCTCAGACAGGAAAAAAGCCAGATTTCTAGCCACACTGTTAGTTGAACCAGCTCATTGCATGGATGCCAATATCCATGGAAGAAAAAGAACAAACCAAGCAGCTGCACAAAGGAACACAGAGAGCAGCTTACCCCATTTTTGGAAGCGGCATGAAATTATGCTGATTGACACTGAAAATGGAACTGAGAACAAAGTAGCAGTAAGAAAGCAAGCCAGAATCAGCAATAAGCATGGCTTCTAAACTCAGTTCGATGCATGTGAGCAAAAGCCATCAGTAATGCCAGGTCTGACTGAAACCACACATTAACATCTTACAGTTTGCATAATAGATAAGCCAGTTACAAATGCCATTATGTGGTGCTAGCTTTAATTGCTCCAAGCTAAATATAATTTGGAATGTAATAGCTCCCCCTCAGCTCTTCTGTCTCTCAGGAAGAAGAAAAAATTCAAGTTAGTAAAAGCAAACAGGTATATCCAATTGTGCATCATCACAGAGAAAAAGGAAGCAAACCACTGAGACAATTAAGTTGTCTCCAATACTCATGCCGCACTCCTGGTTGCGGTAGGCTGCTGCTTGCTCTTGTCTTCCACCAACCACCTTGGTTCCAATTACAGCCAGCGAGTGAAGCACACATACCTGCTCCTGCCCAAGCACTACCATTTCTCTGCTCTATTAGCAGGCTGTACTGAATCCCACTTGCCCGATGCTTCCAGTCAAGGTACTGCCCTGGTACCCACATGCTTTTCTCTGTGTACCTCCTGGCTCAGCAGCACAGGGGAAGAAGACGAGGGCAAGTGTCCTCCTGCGCACGTGTGCAGCTTGATCCTCACCTGCTTCTTTTGTACTGGCATTACATATATGAGGAGTCCAATGTCTGATACAGCAGGAGAGACTACACCACCCTGATAAAGCCATGAAACAAGTTATTCTGCCTTCTTGCACCAAATCAGGATTTTGAAAAACTTAAATGCAAAGTTCCACGCAGCGGGCTTTAATTTCCCTCTCTGAGTGATAAAGGCAGAAAATTCAGCTGACAACTAGAAATACATACTACAGATTCAGCATTTTTGTTAACCAGCATTGTAAGCCATTATGTAACTGAAGTTCCCCACTTTTTCTACTGTTCAGGGCTGGGGGGCTGGGGAGGAGAAGGGGGGCGGATGGACATAAATCATTGCTGTAATGAGACAGCAGACTTCCCACTGACTGCAACACCCTTTCTACACCCCTCTCCTCACTGTGCCATCACCTGACTTTTCCTCTCCTCCATCTACTTTTCCTCTTCGGCTTTATCTATCCTCTGCTCATTTTAATGAGGTGAGGTCTTAATTTAAAAAAGCAAACAAATGAACAACCCTCCTCTCTTCCCCCCCCCAAAAAAAAAAACAATCCTATTTTTAAGAATTCTTGTTGACTTCACCCCTTGTCTGTGGTGCATGCAGACAAGAATGTTGCTATTTATGGAAAAAAAGTATTCATCAGACTGTAAGAATTACTGAATGTGGCATTAGAGATGAAAAGAGGGGCTGATTGACTCCAGCCCTGCTTGCCTTGCAGAGCTGAGCACGCATTGTAGGAGCACAGCTTGAGATCTGCCAGGAGGAACCTCCTGCTCTGAACAAGCCCAAAGCCAGTATCCCACACTTCCTGTCCCCTGCCCTACCACTTTCTGAGACAAGGAGCAGGCTGGATAGACCAGGTTAAAGGAACTCTGTGTATTTGTTGTCTATTGTGAGAAATGTTAAAGCAAGCCTCCTGACATGTGCTGTTTTACATTAGAACATCCACGCTCTCCTGCTAGCAGAGCTGACACAGAGCAGGAGAAGGAAGGCTCCCTGCTGTCAGTGCAGAGACAGCCTTCTTCCATCCACTTCTGGTAAATGCAGTAACAGAGCCACTAAGGCTTTGCTTTCTGAAGTAGCAGACCAAGATACAGACAAACAATACCAAACACAGGCATGAATGTT